AATGAGCAGCTGAAGATTGACGACTGTTACAGCAGAAAACAAGACTACAGCAAGGGCTGAGATAATCTGGTAACCTTCTGTTTACATTTAAAATGAAAGGCAAAGCATTCCTCCAACGATTACGAACAATGCTGGCTTTCGTTCCAGAGATTATTAATCCAACAAGACTTTTACACCAGTTAGGACTCAGAATGTGTTGTCAATCATTCATAGCTGCTATGAAATCAACCTTTTGCTCAATATCTGTAAAATTAATGGCCTGGCAGTGTCATCCCATCTTATATATATATACGTAAATATATATTCTGGCCATGGCACATACTGTATGGTGGCTATCGCACATGCTGACTCTGTTAGTCAGATCTTCAGCCAGTAAAAATGTCCTGAAAGCTGCATTAAAATCTATCCCATGGTTCAGAAGACCTTGAGTTAACATCACCGACAAACCAAACCACACATAGGAAGCAGCAGCTCCTGCTGTCTGACAACAGCAATGACCAGAGTTGGATCATATGTGTGCTAGGGCAAATCTACTAGAAAATGTCTGATAATACCATCCTAGTGATACCATATAAGGCTTGATACTATTTAGTGATTAAAAGATGTAGTTGCCTGACAATTGTTAATCTAGTGGCCTGCTTTTTAAAGCTTAGAGTTTAGATTTTCTGTCACTGTAAAGTAATTTCCTACTAATTTTCTAACTGATGCACATGCATAGCAACAAAGTTACACCTGTTAAATTCTAACTGTAGCAATTATGATTTCATTAGATTTCACAATTCGGATTTCTTATAAGAAACAACATCCTGTGCAGATATGTTGCTGGAAAACAATCTCTAATTTTTTTTTCTATGCTTCTATATTTTTTTTCTCAGGCATTTTCAGAAAATAATATGGAATATAGGGGCTTCATGTTGGTTTCCTCTAGCTGAAACAGGTGAAGCAAATCCATTGTCACAAGGAATCAACTATAATAACCTTGTTTACATAAAACATGTGGCTGAACTAATATCACCAGGGCAACATTTTGCCATTATAGCAAACAAAACAATGACACACTCATAAATACAAGCGAAAACAACACCAGAATGGCCATAACTGCTGCTCATTTCAAAACATTAACCGGTTTGGCAAGATGTTTAGACAGAAGGCATGTCACGTGGACATATTAAAGAGGAAACACGGGTTTAAAGAACTTGTTTGAACACCCAAACAATGCCTTTAAAATATATTAAAGAAGAATTTGATGGGATTGTTTACATCAAGGTTTAAAACATGCATAAATAGTAGGGCTGTAGCGAAGCCTCGACGAAGTCGACGGCTCGATTCTAAAAATTTGTCGACGTCAGATCCGGAAGTCGACGCACCGCGCCCACTTGTTGCATCCCCAGGAGTTTGTAAATAGAGGAGGAATCTGCCCGTTTTTCCTCTAGTTCGCCCTCTTCTCCGCCTTCACTAAAATCTCCGCCAAATACCGAAGACCCGGAACAACGTCCGTCCACTACTAGATTATTTTCCTGTTTTGCCCCTTTGTCTCCCAGCAACGGACAACAACTTCCGGGGTCAGATGCGCTGCTTCGTGTCTATCGCAGATGTAGAAAATCACCGGGAGCGCTTCTCCCTTCATTAAGGAGCTTCTTTCAGACATGAGGAGAGCTGTTTTGGTGGTAGCAGTCTCTCCTCCGTGCTGGTCTGTTTGCTGCCGGGTGTTTTAGGTTTATTTAAACTTGGTAACTTGAACTTAACGTTGGTAAAGCTACTGTTAGCATCTTCGCTAACAGCTTCTTGCGTTGGGATAAGCTGTTACGTTTTGGTTTAGAGTTCATCTTTTTTGTGGTGTAGATCTCCCTTTTATTACATTTAGAGTGTTGTGGGTTTTCGGTTTAGTGTAAAATATCACCTGAGTTTGGGTTAACCCGTAAGACCACTCGCCTCACGCACATAAGTGACCAAAACAAAGCAGCATGGAGACACTCCATCTTCTACCACCTCTCAGGCAGCAGCCTGCACTCCCAAGTTCTACACGTCACCAGAACATAACCAACCAACACAATAAAAGCAGTGTTATACAAAATGGAAGGCCTGTAGTGTTTATTCTCTTACAGTAAGAATTTATCAATTTTTTTGAGGAATTTATTTGAGATTTTCTGGTTTTTGTTAATTGTGCAATAGAAAAATAATCATTAGATTAATTTTCTAAATAGTCATTAGAATAGTCGACTATTCGATAAAATAATCGTCAGAATAATCGTTTTAAAAATAATCGTTTAACCCCAGCCCTAATAAATAGTATTATAGCACCAACAGGGAAATGAAAACAACACAAAAATGAGCAAACGAAGGATGATCAGATCCTGTATCGTGTTTTTGCTGTTTCTTAGAAACAATTTTCTGAGTGTTTTTTTTTTTATAAATAAAAAAGCCTGATTCTCCTTTTGCCCTTCACTCGTCAGTTTTCATTAATTTAAACAGAAATTACACAACATGCTGTCATGGGCAGGGACTGGCCCAAAAACAAGGAGAAAAGCAGCCAAAGAAAAACTGAAGAAGCCTGAACAACAACTGAACGGGACCACTTAGGAGATTACAGAGGAAGTCTGGCCTCTTAGGAAGAAATCAGAGGTGGTTTAAAACTTTAGAACATCACTGTATGTAGCACAAGCACTATGGACAGCTGTTATCAGGACTCCAAATCAACATTTTTTTTTGCTGATAAACTATATAAATGAGTGTCTGATTGTGCTGCAGACAAATGTAGTCAATAATTCAGCACTTTAGTGCATCTTAGTTAAAATTTAAATATTCTGCCTAAAACTGTCAGCGATGCACCGTCGTCAGGCAAAAACTCAGCACTGCACTTGAGTTTAAATATGCCGTCGCTATTGAATAAGAGGTACACTACGATGTCAGATGGTACATTATGATGTCACGTGAGTAGTGTTGTCAAAAAAATCGATACCTAGATATAAATCGATGCTAAAAGTGGTATCTAAATTAGATATTCCATCCCTGTGGTATCGATATTATGGACTATTATACACAGCCTTCTTCAAGTACACCGACACGCACGACAGCCAGATGCCTCCGCCTCCCAGACCAACAGAAGAAGAAGACGCCGCATGGCTACATTACAATTTCCCACGCGAGTTGTCTCCGATCCAAGTTTTGTCTGCCAAATAAATAAACAAAAACATAAACAGCGAATTTGGGAGGCGCTTCACAGCCCAACTTAATTAGCATACCAAGTCCGACACGTAGTTGTATATTCACGCTTATGTGCTTAAAGGAAAACTCCCGTTTATTGCAACCCGGACTTAATTTCTAGCATGCAGTACGTTTGTTTACTCACGCTGACAACTTTGGTGCTACTTGGATTCCCCGGGGTATTTACCGTAGATCCATCAGCGAATCGCCATCAGTGTATATCCATATAACGGGTGCGGAGGGGCACCCATGGTGCAGCCTCGAAATAAGACATTATCTGCACCAAAACATCTCAATGTCGAAAGGTTTTGTTAGGAATCATTAACGTGATTCCCCTGTTCGTTTGGAGCGGGTCTGGGATTTCTAGGCGTAAACAGACTAGCTGTGACTAATTAACCGGCGCTTTTAATGACGTCACTGCCGTGCGCCAATCTGTTTTTATTAAGATTATCGGTAGATGTACCTTTGTCCTACTGTGGAGAAATTCGTTTTCTCCCTTTATTGACCAACAGAGTTGTTCAAAAGTACAGAACAAAACATATGGCATTACATCTTATGACAAAAATGCACCTTAAACAGAGTTTAAGCAGCAAAACATCAATCTGTAAATAGTGTATATATAGTGAGACAATTCATGATTTAAAGTGTTAACTTTGGCCAGTTTTTGTATGCACGTTTTAAAAAATGCTGATACTTGAAAGGTTTAAGCACTTTACACACTTAGTTCTTAACATTTAATTTTTGCAATATAAATTGAGGAATGTTATTTTTTGAATGAACTTGTTCAATAAATTGGTGTTTTTAAATAGTATCGAAATCGAGTTTTTTTTCCAGTATCGAATCGAGTTTGAAATTTTAGTATCGTGACAACCCTAGTCGTGAGTGTGTGTATTTGTTAGCGGCTATGCCCTCTCGGTCTGCTAGGCAACAGCATTTGTTGCATTTTTCAAACAGGAAGTGGGAGTTGACTAATACTCTGGTAGGGGGTGACTTGCTCTTTAGCTAATGCTCAGAATGCTTCATGTGATAGTTTTTTTTCTACGTTTTTTGGTCAGCTGCCAAGGCCGGCAGCTCCAGCGCTCCCAGCTGCCGGTTTAAATTCAAATGCAGTGCAGAGTTTTTACCAGACAACGGCACAACACTGACAGTTTTAGGCAGAAAATTAAAATTGTAACTAAAATGCACTAAAGTGCAAAACTATTGACTACAGGTGTCTGCAGCACGATTAGACACACATTTATATAGTTTATCAGAAAAAAACTGTTGATTTGGGGGTGACTTGCTCTTTAAATAAAAGGCAGGATAATGTAGTTACTCAAATATACTAAACTTTAGAAAAATTTGCTCTATGTGTTTGTATTATAAACCACATAATTTGAGCATTCTTTAAGAAAATCTTACTTAACTATATTTTAACCAGTAGAAAATGTTTTTTTTATTTATATAGCTCATCTCAAGGTAAAAACCTCAGTTTCTAACTGAGAAATAAAAACACCAGACACACCAAACATTAGCAGATTTTAAAATAAACGTTTTACCACACGTTAGCACGTTTGAGTAAGTTTAATTAACTTGACTAGTAGGAATTTCTTTATTTATTATAGATATAAAGCTCAATCGCTCAGTCATTACTCAAATTAATCAACATTAGCTTGTTTCTTATTTTACAGACTGCAGCCAGGAGCTGTCAGTGTGCTACGCTTGAAACTTAGCTCTGATTAAAAAAATGGATGACGAACGAGACATGTTTACAACTCAGAACAATGAGTTAAGTTAATTAAATGATCAATACTCACCATTTTCACTTTCTGTGCATGCGAAGGGTGGAGGCCAAAAGATGTGTTGTGGGCCACAACAAGCTGCGATGTCGCTAGCAAGTTAGCCTCCCTGCGATGCTAGCCTGACCTGCTAGCTGACTTTAACGGAGCTAGTCCCTGCTAAATATAGCGCTGAAAAGCAAAAGTCTGAGCTCAATGGAAGACACCAGGCTTTCAGCATACGAAGCAACGCGTATACTCCTTCCCATTCTTTGTTCTTAAGTTTCCGACATCACTTGAGATAAGCATAAATTGAGCATTCAGTCTGAAATAACGACAGTATTTTCCTGCCGACATCTGATCCGCTTCCCCGCACTGCGTAGCAAGAGCGTCTTCTTCTTCTTCTTCTTCTTGTTTATTGGCAGGTGGCAACCAACTTCTAGGTGCATTTCCGCCACCTTCTGTGTGGGAGTGGGAGTCGCAATAGGGAGAAACTGCTGTTCTAAGTAGCGCCGCGTTCATGTTATTCTCTTACAACTCGCGCACAGAATATGGCGTCCGTGCGATGGAGACAAACCTTCTTACGCATTTTACGTAGCTCGAAGGCATTTAGCCTGTTTACAAATGGTCGGAGGCTGAGGCGCCTTTATGGTACAGTAGGAAATTTTTATGTTCGTGGGGAAAGTACGAAGCTCACGATAATGTTTATTTGTTATGTGCACATAGCTTGACATTTATCATTTTTGTTCTAAAATTGTAAGTACTTTTTGATATATTTTCTTAGTTTTCATGCGAATTTTTTTTCGCAAATACAAATGTCTAAACTCTGGGAGCCTTAAGCGTGGAGATTCTGAAAGGTAAAAACCGTTTGTCAATGTAAAGTTCTGCCAGGTTCACACGGTTTTATTCTTTTCATTTTTATTGCTTATTCCAATTCGCGTTAAGTTTTAATTTAGCTACTTTAAAACAGGTCAAAAATATAAATAGCCAAGTCTCTTAAAATGTCAAAAGTCAAAACATTGGAACTTTTCAAATGAAGATAAAAAAAATATATATAATAAAAACATGAAATTAAATATACTAATTTCTGTATTGAGTTAATCATAATCTGTGTGTTGTATTGGTAAAAATGTATGTATGTATGCATGTATGAAATGTTTCACTTTTGTAGACTGCTGTGAACATAACATACATATTGAATTAATGGCCTAAAGAGTGTTGTGCAGGTTAACAAATTAATTTTTATTCAAAGACTTTCAAATATTGGAAGCTATTGATATTATTTTTAAAGGGGGTAGAGATTTACAAAAGATTTTCTATTCTTTCTGTTCCTTTTCATTCTTGACTGTTTATTTGCATGTTTGTGTTTGTTATTTTTTTGTGTGTGTGAATAAAATAAAGGTTGTGAAAAAAAACTTTCTTCACGAGAAAAAGTTTTGAACTGCAGAACGTTTGCATATTTTATGATAATAGTCAGTAAAATAAAGCCATCCTCATGCAAAACGCAACATGATATTATTATTTTTTGGAAAGTATGTCACATTTTAATTCAAGAAGTTACTTTTTGTAAAACAAGCAAAACTCCGTTCAAAACATCAAACTTTATTTTCCTTCAAATTAAACACTCATCAGCTGGTTATTTGCTCCGTGTCAGCAGAGAGCAGTATTTCTGCTTGAATGACGTGCGACTGGTTTCAGTTACTGACAAGAAATAATTGTGTATTTTCAAAATAAAAGAAAATTAGCTGTATTTAGTATTACAGCGGCACTTCCCATGATGAACAATGCAATTTTTCATATTCATTTTGTAAATAATACTGTCACATCAGTTAAACGTACATTAAACACTAGTGAACTAAAACACACCCAGAATCCTTTAAGTAAATGGAGTAGCGTTCCTTTGTTTTGAAAGTGGAAACAGGAAGTAACGTGTTCTTCTGTTAACTTGATGCCAATTGCCGTTTGCTAACAAAACAACGAGAGACTTCAACCGTAGTGTTACATATTTCACTGTTTCTACAAGGTAAAATTGATATTTGCCTGTACGGGTGTTTACAACATGTCACCTATTTTTCGTTATATTGTATGTTCTCTCATTTTTGCCACGTTGCTGTTTGTGTTTAGGTGCGAGAGGTGTGGCTAATGCTAACACTAGTCAGACTCACGCCTTTGTGTCATTAGGTTTTAGGTTAAGTGTAGATGAATGTATTTTATTAAACCGCGATAACATTTTTGAAATGACAGTAAATGTTACGAATACATTTCCTTTACGGTATACGTGTTTCTTAAAAAAAGTGCATTTTTAAGGTACGTGATCATTTAAGCCACCACAGTTTATTCAGCAGGTGGCTGGTACAGTCGTTTATGAAATTCGTTTGGATTAGCAGACCTGTCATTTCTAATTTAGTTGTGTCATTTCTAATTTAGTTGTAATATGGTTGATTGAAACAACTTTTTCCTCAAATCAAAAACCTCACACGTTCTAATATTGTTGCTCATTCTGTTTACGTGTGACATTTAAAGAGCAAGTCACCCCCAAATCAACGTTTTTTGCTGATAAATTACATAAACGAGTGTCTAGTCGTGCTGTAGACATGTGTAGTCAATCATTTGGCACTTTAGTGCATCTTAGTTAAAATTAAAATACTTTGCAGCGTACCAAAAGGCCAAGTATTTAATCAAAATGGCCAAAGTTAATTTTTAACTTGCAGGCCCAGCTTACTTCATAAGGGTCAATCTGACACCGTGGTGTCGATAGGACGAGATGAGCTGGTGGGCCACATCTTATCTGTTTGGTCTCCAAACCAGAAAAGCACTGCTCAACGACCTTGTTACTGAAAAAGGTAGCAATAATAAGTCCTTCTCCTAGCTCTCTTATCTTAGCTGGAAAGCCAAGATCTCATGCAGAAGACCAGACTTTTACTCTCCGAATAAAGCTCATCTTTCTGGTCATAAATTACTTTTGAAAAACCTCATATTCTGTTGAATGAACAATTTGTTTAAATCCAAAGTGTTTGATTAATGTGTCCTGCACTTAGCATTGTGGGTTAAGATGAATATTTTTCCTGTAATGATTCATTTCAGTTCATACATTACACCAGATCAGTAATTGTTGATTCTAGTAATTTGATCTATCAGTATGAACACAATAATAATAATATTATTATTATTAAATGTTAACATTTTTGCTCCACACAATTGTATAACATTTTCACGTCACACTAGGAGTTAACCTCTAAAGTGTCTGAGTGAAGGAGTGATCTTCTGAGGAATTTTGGTAACACCTTTAAAAGGAACTCCAGCTATGAGGACGTGGACGTCACCAATAAGCCACAAGTTTTCTGTTGTACCAAACTATGTTGTTAGAAACACACAAAACATTGCTGTTTATTTATAAATCTATAATATTTAGTACATTTTTGGACATACGTAGGACGCCATGTTTTCCGCATGCAATACACTCTGGGGGCAATGACTGTATATTGGTTGCGCTTGAAAGAATAGCTGTTGACGCTAGTGTTTGTTTGCGTGCTCACCGTATTAATAATGAAGTAAAATGCCGCATTGTGCTGCTTTTGGATGTAATTTCCAGTCAGAGGGCAACAAGGTGAGTGATGTGAGGTTATGCAGAATCAGTACGGCAACCGCAAGAAGAGGACAAATCAGTGGGAAGATGCCTGTGGACGGACACAGCTTCCCAAAGATCCGCGGCTGTGTTCCCAACATTTTTCTCTTGATGTGTTTGAGGCTTATAGTCGACCACAACTACTTAAAGAGCTCACCAGAGCGGCTGGGTATAAGAGAAGGCAGAAACTAAATGCTTTACCGACCATTTTCCCACACAAGGAGCCTAAACGCCCTCAGACAGACAAGAGACGCTGGACGCTCTCCTGAGCCGACAACCCACTCCTGCAGCTGCCGCTTCTGTCACGTTCAGTGAACCATCGGACACACCACTTGTCACGGATGAAGCTGAACATTCACCTCTCCCGTCAGTAAAACAAGCAGTAACTGTAGCAACACAGTGTTCTCCACATATATGATATCTGCAAAAATGATTAGTCGTTTCACTGAATATGCTAATCATCTATAAAGCACACGCCAGCTCTGGATGCTAATATTCTCCTAAATCATTCATAATTGAATACGTTTGATCACACGATAGCTTACCATTAACTTATGCTAACTAAAATGAGAGCTCTTGACAACAAACACTCTTCCTCTCGGTTACCATGGAGACGCATTTGCCGCATGCATCACCAGTTTTGTCCTGCACTCTTCATCCTGCCCTTCATGTTGATGCTCGTTTTGTGAAACATCGTCAGTGATGTCATCATTAATGTTTCACTCTGGTTCTAATGGAAAAGGCTGAACAGATGACTTGTTGATGTCGCCAAACAGTCACTACAGGGTCCCAAAGCCAGCCGGTGCAACCGAGGTACATCCATATGACGTCACTAGCCAGAGTGCATTGCAATGCTAGCAACAATGGCGACTTACGAGTTAAACTATTTTTACAAATTTTATAAAAATGAAGACATTAAAGAGCAAGTCACCCCCAAATCAACTATTTTTTTGCTGATAACTATATAAATGTGTGTCTAATCGTGCTGCAGACACGTGTGGTCAATAATTAGGTACTTCAGTTCATCTTGGTTCAAATTTAAATTTTCTGCCTAAAACTGTCAGTGTTGCGCCATTGTCAGGTAAAACCTCTGCACTGCATTGGAATTTAAATCTGCCACCGCTATTGGCTAAGAGGTATGCTATGATGTAAACTGGTACATTATGATGTCACAATGCTGTTGTGAGCCTGTGTGTGTGTGTGTGTGTGTGTGTGTGTGTGTGTGTATTTGTTAGTGGCTCTGTCCTCTCGGTCTGCTAGTCAACAGTATTTGTTGCATTTTTCAAACATGAAGTGGGAGTGAAGTAAATTTCTTGTAGGGGGTGACTTGCTCTTTAAGATTTTTTACACCACTTTAATATAACTGATACTAACATTTCTCTTTTAAGAACCACAAAGTTTTGTAACCCGGGTTCCTTTTAAAACTAGTCAAATTTTGATTTGTCGAAATTTGTCAACAACATTTAATAAATACAAGGATCACTTCCTGATCTAGTCAGTTCTCCAACCGCCTCTCGATCGACCTAATCAATTGACCCGTATGAAGAAGTAGGTTGGGCCTGCAAGTTAAAAGTTGACCTTTGGCTATATTGATGAAATACCTGGCCTTTTGGTACGCTTCATGCCTAAAACGTGTCAGTGTTGGGCCGTCGTCAGGTAAAAACTCTGCACTACATTTGAATTCTCATGTGTTTTTTGGTATAAATCATCCTTTGATGTATTTGCAACGTCTGATAGTCAAACTTGCAGCCGATATGTTCGAAAATGTGCAAAAACAATTTTATATAACAAAGTTTTCATCGATACAAATAGATAATCAATGTACTCTAACCATTGTTTGTGTTTTGCTGTTTTAGGTTCTAATTTTCCAAACATCACAACTACATGCAAAGAAATCTGGTTCTACTTGTTGACAAGTCCGTCTGTTCTGGCCGACATCCTTTTCGTACGCTTGTCAGACGTCAACAATTCTCAAAATTGTGCCAGGCCAACCTTGTCGCCTCTAAACAACCATCTTCACTTGTCCGTTCAAAGTCTTCAGGAGAAATTTGTCATTTTACCTACATATCCCATAACCAACGTCTTCTCCCCTGGAAGTTCCTGCAGTGTCTTTTGTCCAACCAGCCCGATATGTCGGAACAGAGATTCCTGGTGGAATATGCCAAACGCGGCACCGCAGGCTGTAAGAAATGCAAGGACAAAATTCAGAAGGGCATAGTACGGATAGGGAAGGTTGTGCCGAACCCCTTCAGCGAGTCTGCGGGGGAGATGAAGGAGTGGTATCACGTGAAGTGCATATTTGAGAAGCTGGAAAGGGCACGAGCTACCACAAAGAAGATAGAGGACATCACAGACCTGGAGGGCTGGGAAGAACTGCAGGATGAGGACAAGGAGCTCATTAATAAACATGTTTCAGGTTGTGGATCATCCTTTGCTATTTGCTTAGTCAACTTTCAGTTTTCCTGTTCAACCAGTTGGTTTAATGTCACACATGAGCTCAAAAACTTTACATCTTTAGCTGTCAGGTGACAATAACAGTAAAATTTAGTACTTAGCTCGATTAAAAAGAACCTTTTAAAGGAAAATGTGAAAATGTTTGGTCCCCTCTTCAGTTTTAAATTTAGGTTAGCCGAATGAAATGAATGAGGTCTTAAAAGAGACGATTTGTACATGTAAGTGTTTTATTTAGATAAATATGTATGTGTCACTCATACAGGCCAACTTTTGATTTTTGTTTGTGTTTTAGATCTGATGGCTAAAGTCAACGCTAGTCCAAAGAAAAAGGTTCAGTCCAAGTTGAACACCTCAGCTCAGCTGATGTCCCCTCCTGCCGACCCGTCGGTCAACGCCCCGCGGAAGTTCTCAGGCTTCACCGGTAAAACGCTGAGGGCCATTTCCGCAAACTGCTTACACAAATAAAGGAATGGGATGGGGATTATGACAACAAACAAATGGTAAATGGCCTGTATTTGATATAGCGCCTTCTAGAGTCCTGGAACCCCCCAAGGCGCTTTACAACACAATCAGTCATTCACCCATTCACACACACATTCACACACTGGTGGGGATGAGCTACAATGTAGCCACAGCTGCCCTGGGGCGCACTGACAGAGGCGAGGCTGCCGAGCACTGGCGCCACCGGTCCCTCCGACCACCACCAGCAGGCAAGGTGGGTTAAGTGTCTTGCCCAAGGACAACAGCGACAGACTGAGTGGGGCTCAAACCTGCGACCTTCCGATTGCGGGGCGAGCGCTTAACTCCTGTGCCACCGTCGCCCCATGTAACTTAAAATAACAAGAACTGGATGAGCGTTGAGGTTTAAGCCATTTTTTTTATCTTGTTCATTGACAAAGCTGCCGCGTCACAGATCAGTTTATAGCAGAAGAAGCATTGTGATGTTAAAGTGCACCAATACCAAGTCTCCTGACTTCCTGTGCTAGGTGTAGGAGATGAAAGCTTCCTTTACAAAGCAGCTGCACCAGACCTGTGCTAAGTAAATGTATTCACTAGTTACTGATTAGAAGCCTGAGAATCCATCCTGCATTAAAACAATGAGACATGAAACAAAAACCCCGACACCAACAGAGTTGCTGCAAAAGGAAAGTTAAAGAAGCACAAAGAACAGGTGAGGTTAAAGAGGATCAGGGTTTTTTTTTTTTTTGCTCATCTCACAGTTTTTATCATTCAACGCCATTAGACTCTTTCACATCTTTGATTTTTAAGTCTTAAGCCTGATTCATGCTTAAGCAAAGGCACATTTGCACCCCCCCGCTGCTGCAGCGTCAAATCTCCTCTGTATTCATACCGGCCCGACCTGTTGCAAACAAATTCTCCACCAGGACAGCAGGGTGCACATTCCTAACTTATTGGCCTGAGTTTTGAAGAAATTCTCCGCCAAAACAACAGAGGGTGCGCTCCTATGCAGGTGTGCATACTCTTGTAGTGACGTGTGCCCTACTACCTATTTACTATTTGTGACGCGAAAAGATGGACGACGCAGACACTGAGCGAATTCTTATTGAGCAGGAGCTGTTTGAGCTCGAAGAACAACAACTCTGCTCCATCTGCTCCGTGTCTTCAGGACTGTGTCAACACTCTCGCTGTTTACAGTTTTTAAGGGAAGCTACGTCGTGCCGGAAATGACGTTGGGTTGTTTGGCTGACCAATAACAGACGTCCAGCATACAACGCCGCCGTCGGATGTTTAGAATATAGAGCTCGACTCCAACCGACATTCCAACACGATCCAACACTGTTGGATCGCCCATACGACGTTGCATCATGACGATCCAACAGATCCGACATGCTGGAGCAGTGTCGGTATGAATCAGCCTTTAAGGTTGCAGTTCAGCACATCGACAAAGAGGTTCAACTCTCAGTAGTAAATAGATGCTCTTACAGTTTCAGCGGTTTGCTGGATGATGGTAAAATGAAATGGGAAATGTCTGACTTGACATTAAAGAGCAAGTCACCCCCAAATGAACTTATTTTTCTGATAAACTATATAAATGCGTGTCTCATCGTGCCGCAGACACGTGTGGTTAATAGTTTTGCACTTTAGTGCATTTTAGTTAAAATTTAAATATTCTGCCTAAAACTGTCAGTGTTGTGCCGTTGTCAGGTAAAAACTCTGCACTGCATTTGAATTTAAATCTGCCGTCGCTATTGGCTAAGAGGTTCCCTAGAACGTTAGCTGGTACCATATGATGTCACAATGTCGGTGTGAGCGTGTGTGTGTGTATTTGTTAGCGGCTATGCCCTCTCGGTCTGCTAGGCAACAGCATTTGTTGCATTTTTCAAACAGGAAGTGGGAGTAGAATAATACTCTGGTAGGGGGTGACTTGCTCTTTAACTAATGCTCAGAATGCTTCATGTGATAGTTTTTTTTTCTACGTTTCTTTGGTCAGCTGCCAAGGTCGGCAGCTCCAGCGCTCCCAGCGTGTCCTCGTCCTCCTCCAAAGCCGGCGAAGGCAGCGCCCTGTCCAAGCAGCTGTGTGACCCACAGCACAAGGACTGCCTCTTCAGAGAGTTTAGGAAACTCTGCGCCACCGTGGCTGAAAACAACAGCTACAACAGCAAGACTCAGATCATAGAGAAGTTCCTGAAGAAGGGCACGGGGGGAGGTCGGTGCTCTTCTGTTCACGTCTGCACATTTCAGCATCTCACAGCTTCGCTGACTCTTTCTCCTCCTTCCAAACCCAGATAAGTTCCACGGAGATCTTTACCTGACTGTGAAGTTGCTGCTGCCAGGCGTCGTAAAAAGCGTTTACAACCTAAACGACAAGCAGATTGTAAAACTCTTCAGCCGAAGTTTCCAATGCAACCATGACGACATGGTGCGGGATCTGGAGCAGGTCTGTTACCCGGCAACCATCTTTACAAAACAAAATGCTGACTGTCTGGACTGATACTGACTTGGAACAAAAGGATGCAACATTATTTGACTGACTGATCAGTTGACTTGGGGCAGGATACAAAGACTCCTAGTAACGATGCAGCCTACTAGAACAATGGTTCTCACACTTATCAGCTTCAGACCTACAAAATGGTATGAGTCAAGATCAGCGATAGGCAACCACAGTCCTAGAGAGCTGCTATCCTGCATGTTGTAGTTGTCTCCCTGCTTCAGCACTTGATTTTAATCAGCAGGTGATTCTGCATAGCTTGACGAGCTGGACAGGGGAATCGACTGTGCTGAAGCAGGAAAACGACTTGAACAAGCTGGATAGCAGCTCTCCTGGACCACAGACGACCCCAGGTGTCTGATGTCACAATACAAACATGCCTAAATAGAAAAGTACAGGTGGGACTGAAAAAATGAGAATCTGGTACAAAAGTCTGTAAACTCTTTCGCTGCCAGCGTTTCTCACCGTTTTTACTGGTTTTTTAAGAGTCACAGAACGTTGCGCGCTAGGATGATGTCGACGCCAAAACAACCAAAACAAAGCGGACACTCACCTCTTACATCAGGAAGAAGCAGCGCATTTCGAGCGTTATCCGTTCTTTCATAATCCCTTGTTGAATTGTGATCGGCAGAAGCTTTTCCGGTTCGCGCCTCACTTTTTTTCAAGTGGTGCTCGCTGCAGAACCACAAAGGCGGAGCTGCACCAGAAGGTGGAGCTGCACCAGAGTCAGCCCCGCCCATTCCAGAATCAGCCCCGCCCATTCTATCAGAGTCAGTCCAATTCCTTCCAGTTGTCAGACTTGATAGCATTCTGGAACCAAAGAGGGTGTTGTAGCTAAAAAATGCGAGATTGAGGACGGAGTTGAGAAGTTAATTGAGCAGTTTTTGTAAAGGTTCCATATAATTAAAAATCTAACTTTTGGAACTTTTAATCATGTTATATTGTCATTTCCTCATAAGAAACACGCCAAAGCCATTTTTGGCCTCATTCATGCATTTTCTTCCCATCTCAGCTTCAATTTGGTCTCCTCCCCCGAAGCGGGTCTGATCTTGGTTCTCAAATCTGGATATTCTGTGAATTTTCTGACAAATTATTTCTGAAATGACTTCTACTGAGACACCGCCAGAAAAATCATACATCCCATCTACAAAGACACACCAAATAGGATAATCAAATGTAACGCCACCTAGTTTTTATCAGATGTGGTGGTGTAGTGGTGATGGTGTCAGGTTGACATGCAGTTTTGCGCAGGTTCGCCTCCCAGCAGTGGAAATATTCCATAATCTCTTTTCCTCATTTCTAGCTACACTTGCCAGTACTATGTTTACAACAATTTACTGGTATGCCGTTTAACATATAATGACTAATGTGTTTTTTTATTTATTCATTTGTTTAATTAGCCAGTGTGAGTCCATCTGTGAGCAGAGTTTCAACTAAAATGCTGTTTAGGAACGACCAAATTCAAAGAACTTGTAGAGACATAAATATTTTGCTGAAAATGAACATTACAACTAAAATATGAACAAATTAAATGTTTCAGCTGGCTAAATAGATTGTTGCCGACCCCACCGAGAATCGAACCAGCATCAGCTGAGGGGAAAGCAAAACGTAAGTCAGACGATCTTGCCACTGGACTACCAGAACCCACATTGTAATGAAACAGGCTGTTGTGCAAGACTTTTGTTAGAGCAGCTGTGGGCAGATATTCGCTAAGAGAAACCTTTTTATTTCGGGATGTATTCAGTCTTTGTCATGTAGCAAGTTATATTTATCTTGTTTAATTGGAGCATAGAACATAGCATTAACGACTGTAAACTAGTAACAGCCGTAATTCATGTGGGTCAGGTCAGTTTGCGATAAAGTTGAAAACAAAAACGGAAGTCAGTGGGCTAGGCTGAGTTTGCGTGAATGGGCGGGGCTGACTCTGGTGCAGCTCCACCTTATGGTGCAGCTCCGCCTTTGTAGTTCTGCAGCGAGCACCCTCTCCTTTTTTTTACAGCAGCGGCCCAAAACGATCTCCTAACACATGGATGTTCTGCTTCCTGATCACGTGACGTGTGACGTATGCAGATGAAGATCGGCTTCAGAGCTGAGATGTTTGTTCTCACGGTGCGCGGGGGCTTGTTCCGATGCCCACACAGTAAAAAAAAAAGCAAACAAAACCACGAAAGACTTAAGGATGAATTTAGAGACGATTTGGGTCTTTTGAGTCAAATGTAGCGGTGATCGTACTTGTACCTCAGCAGCACCTTAAAACATTTAACAATCAAAGCGACAGTGTGTTTACTGAGAACTCCTTTAATCTTTGCCAACACACAGTAGTCAGCCGGCGTTGCGCAAACATATAGTGGCAGCTTTAACGCAGCACTTTTTTATTATTGTCTGCCTTAACGTGGCTGCACATCACGTCCCATTACAGCGCCGTAAGAAGGCAGGTTGACATCATCTATTTATGAATCCGTCAGACCCCTCCTATAGACAGCTGCAAAGGAGTATGTGCTTAAGCCAATGTCTGCGGTTGGCTGCTTTAACGCAGCGCTGTTGTATATTTATTTAATCAGTCAGCTCACTTTTAGTGCAGCTTTTTACCATTGGTCTGCAATTTCAGCCTTATTACTGCCCACCTGAGACTGCAGAGTACGCTGTCTCAGCCCTGATTACAACCTTCCACCGGTAGCGTCTTTGGCCACTGCCTGTCTGTTTCACCTCTATTTCAATCAGACAGTTCACTTCCTACCAAAAACAGCCGGGCCTAGGACAAGGCTCAGCTCGGCTCTCTTAGCCGTTCTCAGCCAGGGCACAAAACGTCTTTTGTGACCAAAAGGCAGACACAGACGTAAACACACTGTCAATCAGCCATTCATGAAAAAGGGTGCAAAATAAATAAAAAAAGGTACTCACTCCCCCCTGCGCGATGGATTCCTCTTTGAATCCGGCGCGCGAGAGCCGTCGGCGGAAGATCTTCTGTTGAGCTAAACAGCCGGCCGGTGAAGCAATCCGAGCCCCCCGGGCTTTAGGAGAGGACCCCGGAGAGGACCTCCCAGCGTCCGGCTCTGCACGACAAGCTCACGGCCACAAAATGTTAGGTAATTTTTTATCAATCCAGGGTTACCTTAGGGAAAGTTATAGCAATAACCAATCAACACCAATACAAATGATAAACAATCAATATTAGACTTTGCAAAGTGTAGAGGAATGAATACACACCAGTCAAAAATCTCAGTTCACTCTCATCAGACAAATGTCCTCCGACAGCATTTATTGAAGCACACACACAAAATCACATTCCTAAGGCTATGACGTAGACCATCAGGCGGGAAGCTGCTAGCAAAAGGAGGTCTCGGCTCCAGGTGCACACTGAATCAACAAAGCAGTTTCTAGACATTTCTCATGGGAGTTTTACTGATAAATCAGACCCGCTTGGTCCTCCCTGTGGAGCCTCAACAGGATGAAACCTGCTTTTATTCATTCTTAATGAGCACCAGATGTTTTAGCAGTCAAGAAATTAAGCTATAATATCAATTTTTACTTAACAGGAACCCTCTGCAGGTGTTCTGGATTCATCAGCTGATCAGCGTGTGACACTTTGAGTCTAGATTATTAAACTTTTCACAATATTCTAATTAGGGCTGCACAATATATTGAAAAATTATCGTCTTCGCGATAACAGGACGTGCGATAGGCCCATTGCAAAGCACATCAAAAATGGCGATAAATGTTTGGTTCAAACATTTCCATCTGTGTCATACATCAACTTTTTGTAATCCAGCTCTGTTTTTTACGCAGAAGTATTATTTGACCAAATGTAGTCCTTCTGATATGCGGCCAATCAGATGGGTCCTTTCACGTAATACGCCCGCCCCCTACGTAGACCCTTACCCCAAAATTCCACTATCTCCGCTCCGCCCCAGCTTTCCGCTGCCGCTCACTTCCCTTGTTCGTCATGCTGGCTCAGAGCAACGAACGCACTTTGTGCTGAGGTTTCTGGAATCAGCGCTGCTTTCAAACCTGAACATGAGTCCGCTCGGTGTCGTTAAGCAGCTGATAACAACCGGGCTGACTCCGACACGTGCCGGTGAACCAACCCACCTACCTTCATGTCGCTAGTGTTCCACCGGGTGGTGATGTTAGCCCCAGGCTCCGGTTAGCTTCCAGCTAAAAGGCTACAGCACTCTCCTCCCAGTCCCACCCTGCTAAAGAGGGCCTGGAAAAGTTCCCCCACACATCAAAGTGATTTTTCATTTATGAGCTTTTATAACCTTGTTAATCAGGATAGTTGATTTGCTGCTGCACATAAACTGTCGGTCAGAAGCTCTGCTAGCCGGTTATCTTAAGAGGAGCTAGCTAGTTCAATTTGTTAGCTTGTTATCAGAATCATAGTTGCAGTTTCATCATCTGAGCTGCTTTTTAAGATCTAGGTAAACTTGTTCATTTGGGGTTTTCATCAGCTGTAATCCATAATCATCACAATTATAACGCAAAAAGCGGCAACATCTGGATTTGGATCTCAGATTAGTTTCACCTTTTAGGCTGAATTAGTGACATAAATGAACTTTTGCACCAGATTCTCATTTTTGAGTTTCACCTGTAATTCAGGGCATTAAGATCACTTCAGCTCATGTTCCCTCGTGAGAATTTAATTCAGATTTTGTAACAATTTTGCTGGAAATCCAGCTTCAGTAATTGCTTAATGTTATTCCTTTTGCTGAAAATCATCTCATGACCCATGTGGAGTTATTGTGGCCCACAGTGACGACCCAACCACTGGGCATTCTGCTGACATCTCGCATCAAGTCATAAAGATCCTCCTGAGTTCTGTCTTACCTAGTGGTTTTACCGTGTTCCAGCTGGTATGTTGAGGACCTTTCTTTCCCTCCTGGTGGAACTTCCTGTCTTCTGGAATCTCCTCCATGTTTCTAGGCATTGATGATATGTGAACCTTGAGCAAAGTGTGGCTATGTAAAGGTTGTAAATGTTTGGATATATGATGTAGTTAATTCAAGTATGCATACGTTCATATGACACAAGCCAGCGTAATCTCGCTGACTGAGCAAAAAGCTAAAGGAGGAAATTTTAAAATCCTGAATATTTGTAAACAGTAATGAGATGAAAAGGTTAAACTAGAAAAATTTGCATTTCTTGCAGAAACGCTGTTTGAATGCTGGATAGCTGAAACTGTAAGCTGAAGCTGAAACTAAGCAAAACTGTCAAAATAAGCTGAATGTATTGAAAAATGTAGAAGCAAAATGCACCACCAACAACCAAGTAAAGTACAAAAAGTAAGTGAATAATAGAGAAAAATAATCCTAAACAGCAGAAAACTGAAATCTGTGAACATTGTATAAAATCTGGACAGCTAAAATGTCTAAACACATGTTATTTCAGTAGGACAAATTTAACGGTTTAATATTGAATTTAGCTGAACTGTGAAATTAGCATATGCTAAATTTGGAAACTGATTGCTGAAGCTGCTGAATAGCTGAAGTGAAGCTGAAACTAAGGCCGGGCATACACTGCGACTTTTTCACTTTTTTGAGCCGTTTTTCCAGTCGTGCGAGAATCCACGAGATCTGTGATTTTAGAAAAACTGTAATAGATATGTAAAATATTTTTTTTACCAGTAATAGCTGAAAGTCTTGTGAGTTTGTTGAAACTTGAATGAACTCTCTAGGTTAAAGTTGACCTGTAAGAGTAAAAGTTAAAAAAGTGATAGGATTTAGCTGAAAACTGAGCAATCCCATTCATTTCGATTGGCCCAAAAATCGCAGAAAAAGCTGAATATCTCTAAAAGTATAAAATATTTTAATACCAAAAGTCATTGCCGGCATAAGCTGAACGATGCTTTGCAGCATTCAAACAATAAAGAGAAAGGGGAAAACAATAGTTTGAATGAATAAAATAAAAGGGCTCCTTTAATGTCTCATTTGGAGTCTATTGAGCATCACAACATCTGAACACTCCTCTTTTTGTTTGCTTTAAAGGGCGACGTGTCCGAGACTGTGAGAATGTTCTTCGAGGACTGTAAATCTTTCCCACCTGCTGCCAAGAGCCTCCTCACGATCCAGGAAGTAGACGCATCCTTGACCCGCCTCGCTCAGCTGACCAAGGAGGACGAGCAGCAGAGCGAGCTGGAGGCCATAGCTAAAAAGTAACTGGCTGCTGATCTTCATGCTCGTCACGTTGATGCTGAAGTAATCCTAAAGTAAAAAGTTCCGGTTAAATCCTCAGACCACTCGCTAAAAGCCACGGAGGCATCATTACAGTATTTTTAAACTCTGCTGTGTTTTTTCTCGTCATCTTTGGTTCGCTGCTTCTATCATCAGCCCCGGACAGTCCAACAACCGCACAGACATTTTAAACCGATCTTTATTTGACATTTATCCTCTGTGGCAGAATTATGTTTATCAGGAATTACATTTGGGTGGATGGTTGTGCTGCGATGAAGGAAAGGCCCTCCATGGTTGTTGCTTTGATGACGTGTTTGTTAATCCAGGAATCCTCTCAGCAGTTCCTGAGGCTGTTTTGGGAAGTGGTTTTAGAGCAGGCGAACGCCACCAGCCGGCGGTCTGTGTTTTGTTTCTGCCTCCCTAGTCTTGATTAAATCGATGCGTTTGTGTCCTTTATTTATCAGTCCTTATTGGTCCTCGTCTAACTTTGCAAACAACCAGATGAAGTAACAAACTCTTTCCTTTTTCACAGATGCACCAGCAATGACCTGAAATGCATCATCCGGCTCATTAAACACGACCTGAAGATGAACGCCGGAGCCAAGCACGTGTAAGAGTTCACCCCGCGTTCCATCAACACGCTGGGATTTTCGGTCACACTGACGCCTCTTTGTGCAGTTTGGACGCTGTGGATCCAAATGCCCACGATGCCTTCAAGGCCTCCCGTAACCTTGGTGACGTGATTGAGCGGGTCCTGAGGAATCAGCAGGAGGCGTCCAATGGGTCAGGACCCAGGAAGCTGCTGACCGTGGAGGCCTCTCTCCTGACCCCTGTCCAGCCGATGCTGGTGAGTGACCTCATTAACTGGTACGGCAAAAGGTCAAAGGAGGCTGAAAATGTTTTAGTCTGGTGTGTTCTTTCGGAAATCATCTCATCAACCACAGGTGCACAATTTTCAGGAATTAGAAAATCATCACATCAGAGAAGAGCTTCAGGCGAGGGGATTTGGAGCCTTACTTCCTGATACTTGAACATCTCTCCTCTTATTGGCTAACAGCAACACGACTCTACCACTGACTCTGTTTGCTCTGCAGCATTGATGTTTCATCTCCACATATAACTGGAACTGTTTAATACAGGTTAAAGAAAAATAAATAACTAAAAAGAAAAGGTGGTAGGGGTGTGAAGTGGTGATGAACAGGTGATCTCATCATCTAGAATACGGATTTAGCAGCCGTTTAATCCTGACGTGATCAAACCCAGTGAATCCTGATAAGAATAATAAATGTCTGACCTAATGTTGGGCTAATACAGCCAGTCTGTCACTCCTCGCTCCTTGTAGAGCTTATTGTCCACGTAAAGCTTATCCACAGAGATGACAGCCCTCTTCCCATCCTGGATAAACTTTTTGCGCAGCGGAAAGTACTCGGCGTCGATCCAGGATTTCCTTAGGGAACTGGTCATTTACGCTGAAGTCTTTTCCTTTGAGCTCTCTTCCGTGACTTTTAACAAGATCCTTTTGCTTAAAATGTTCAAATTTAGCGACGATGGGATGAGATCTTCTGCTGTCCACTCTTTTAGCTCCAAGGCGATGTACCCGGTGAAATGTGATGTTTTTTACCGTTTCTTCGGGTATCTTCATTTGGGTCTGGAGAAAGTTTTTTATCGTTTGCTCGCAGTTCTCCGCCCCTCCCGTCTGCTCCGGCAGGCCTGCGAACACCAAATTATCCCTCATGCTACGGGCCTGAAGGTCCAAAACCGTCTCCTTCAGAATCTTGTTGTCCAGGGTGATCTGCGTCATTCCCTCTTCCAGGGAAGAAACGGACTCCCGCAGAGACACGTTCTCAGCAGCGAGCCGCTCAACCTGCGCTTGGCTGAACTCCAAAGATGTTCGGAAGTTCTGAAACTGCTGGTGAAGAACCTCAAGCAGATGAAGTCGCCCCTCAAATCCCAGAAGCCGTTTATCTATAGAATCCAATAATTCTAATATGTCCTTACGGGGAGATGAGGCCTCAGGCGAGTCCTGAGGACGGCTCCTCTTGGTCCCAGGTGTTTCAGGCTCAGCTGCTGATTTCTTCTGACCCATAACGAATAACTCAAAAACTCCGTCAATATAATTTTGTAAACTTTCTAAATTTTCTCCACTTACCTCCAGGTTGAGTGAGTTATACTTAACAGATTATTTTTTGAGTTGTCAGTGAATAAATTAGGCGAAAATGCATCTTAATTGTTTGTGGGTGTTTGTTAACGAGCTGCCATCTGCTTCAAACGCTGCCGTGTATCCAGTGATCGGCCGTTCAGCGCATGCGCAACCTCAGACCTCAGTAATCTAGTTTTAATGTTCTCATGTTATGATTGTGTAGCCAACCAGAGGTTGACAAGTTTGAGGGAAATTACCAAGAATCTCAGAAACACGCCTTCTTTGATACCGGATGCTCTGATCTGGGGTAAAGGCTATTTATGTGTCATGGACTTAACTTTTCCATACTTGTTCTTGTGTGAGTGCAAAATGGTCATGACCTGGTCAAGTAAACATGCAATCAATCAATGAGCACAGATTAGTGAAACATTTCATTATTTTATAATTATTATAAGTAGCAATAAACAAACGTTTATTTAATGATTATCTGGCTTATACGTTTTAGAAGTTCATATTTAATTTTAAAATCTTCTTTTTTCTGTGAAGCAAAGAGTCTTAGATAAGAGGGTGCACTGTGAGGGACCTTGAGGAGAGAATGTTATTGTTATGATTTCCTTATCTCTGTCAGAGCTGCAGGCTCTGAGTTCCAGCTGGTGGGATGAAGGCAGGCTGATTTAAAGGGACCGTGTGCAGTCTCCTGTCTCCTTTTGACCAGATGTTGAATGGTCAAACAGCACCTAAAAACTGACCATTGCTGGACGTTACACAGCCCTGTTTTACTTTTGTGGCGTTCACACATAATGTGAGGCTATCAATTCTACGACTTTTAAGAGACGGTAAAGCTGCAGGTTTCTCATAAAAAAGGCCTCACAATCAACCTTTACAAGGCAAAACTCCTCATATTTAGAGGAAATGAAGTCGTCTTCAAGTAAAGGAGGCTGCATGAACAGAAGTTTGCCCGTACACCCAAATCCCTCCGCGTAAACGCCCGTAATTATTCAGCATAATTAGAAATGTGATGTTCCAACATCTGACATTACCCTGCTGAATTTCAACCACGCTGTTTAAAATTCACTCCCAGTCTGTTTCCTTAATTATTCACAGACACTTGACTTTATTCTACACTGAGGTTAGGTGCTAATTCGCCCGTTTTCTTTGGCACATCCAATAAACATGGGCATGTGTAATTTAATCTCGTGTACTCAGAGACACAATTACAGGTTTGTAGTCGGAGCAGGCGAATGTGCAGCCTCTCTGTTGAGGTATTGATTAGTGGAACAATTGTAGTGCAAAGGAACTACATCTGGCTCTAGTCTGAAAGGTACGGACTCAAGTTGCACCTGGAGAGGAAACTTATGCAGCAGAACTGTTTATTTATTGATTTCAGGATTAAGGGATGACATTTTTAGTCTTGTTAAAGGTGTGGAACACTGAAAAAACATTTTTAATGATCATTTCTGATTATAATAATAGATCACTCTGAGTGTTTCATGCAGGCTGAAGATGAAAATAGTCTCCTACACCTATCTCCTGTATTAGCTTCTGATAGAAGACAGACGGTGAAACTCTAGGATAAGAAAATCCTGGTGGTTGCCCTGGCAACCGGGCGTCCAATGCCCACAACTAATTAACCCCACTCAATGTAGACAAGACAAATCCATACGGACAGAACAGCAGTGAGGAGTCCACTGGGCCCACAACCGGCTCTGGAGATGAAATTGGTCACGGCGGAATGGCGAGATGGAGCAGCAGGAGGGCCAGTGCACCGCCGACACCATCAGACGCTCCGCTACTCTATGTGGCACCACTGCGGGCAAAGTCGGATGGAATAGCGGCTATCGGGCACACCAGACGGGCAGCCACAGGTCGTAGCGCGACTGAATCAGATCAGCCTTAATATGGCTGCCACACACACAAGGGCAGAGATCTGATTAGGAGTACCAGGGTGCAGTTTGAGACTGTAACAGCATATGCAGCTCCAGTAATCGCTGAATGTAGTTGGAGTCTCAACACACACTAGCACCTGAGGTGTCACACAAGAGCTGTCCTGCTGGAGGAGCAAACCGCTGCCTTTTATTGGATGGCTCGCCCCGCCCTGTTATCGTCTAATGCGCGCCACCTGCCTCTTTACTGAGATGGGACCAGACCGGATCTGTCTGTCCCATCACATTCTGGCGTCACGAACAGGATCCATGTAGTACTGTCAAGTAGGTCCATGGATGTGAAATTTGTGGCACCCTGCGCGGGAGCACGAGGACGTGCTTGTGGAAAGAGGGGGGAAGATGTGACAGTGTGAGCATCCTGTCACAATGTCCCGATTGATCATGCACCCTGGCTACTTGGCCAAGGGGATGTCCCTTTGGCTGACTAGTTAGCGCGCGTGACTCTCACCCAGGAGTCGGGATCGAATCCCGCCCGGGCCCTCGTTTCTCCACCTTGCCACAGTAGCATCATTGTTCCTGGTAAAAGCTGTTTTAGTAAGCTACATTTTGAAAAAACACAATTCAAAGGTCCAACCCCCTTTCTTCAGACCCCTCCCCCTAAGCCATGCCTCCATAATACAGAAGAGTGACTGACACAATAGATAGTCAAAACAAAAACATAACATTATCTTTTCAACATGCTGCTGGCAGCTTTTCTGCATCGACGTTAGAGCTGCGGCGCCTCCAGGCTTCTCGTGACTCCTCGTACTCCGGTGTCCGTCACGAGTTCTCCGGACTCTGTCCCCTCTAGAAGCTACTGGGACGTGAATCAAACATCCAGCAGAGAGGACGCCGGAAACCCGCTCCTCTACTTCCACTCGGGCCACGTTGGAGTGTTACAGTTTAGCTAATATCGCAATCCCAGGTCTGGCTTCACTTCCTGTTCAGCTGCTCCAAACCAAGGTTGTGCGATTACTTCACATGGAGAGGTGTGTTGGGGGGTGGGACGGTCAGAGACTAGTTTGATGGATGGAACAGGAATAGGAAGTTCACCATGATTGGATGAGGTTCGTCAAGAATTATTTGTTTCAGAGGCGATTAAAATTATTCCTTTTAACAAAACATTTAATCTATTGGTTGCAATCTGTGTGAAAGACTGTTCAATCTATACGGTAAAAAAGGTTCCCTTACTCCACCTTTAACTCATTAACTGCCAGCCGTTTCATGATTGGTAAAGCCATTCGCTGCCAGCGTTTCTCACTGTTTTTACTGTTTTTTTAACGTGTCACAGAACGTTGCGCGCTAGGATGATGTCGACGCCAAACAGGAGACTCACCTCTTACATCAGGAAGAATCTGCATGTTTCGAGCGTTATCCGTTTTTTCGTAATCCGTTGTCGAATTGTGCTCGGCAGAAGCTTTTCTGGTTCGCACCTCACTTTTTTTTTTTTTTTACATCAGCGGCCCAAAACAATCTCCTAACACTTGGATTTTCTGCTTCCTGATCACGTGACATGTGACATATGCGGATGAAGATCGGCTTCAGAGCTGAGATGTTTGTTCTCACGGTGCGGGGGCTCGTTCCGATGCCCACACAGTAAAAAAATGCCATTCATTGGCAGTGAATGAGTTAAAGAGCAAGTCACCCCCAAATCGACTTATTTTTTCTGATAAACTATATAAATGCGTGTCTAATCGTGCTGCAGACACGTGTCGTCAACAGTTTAGCACTTTAGTGGATTTTAGTTAAAATTTTAATTTTCTTCCTTAAACTGTCGGTGTTGTGCCGTTGTCAGATAAAAACTCTGCACTGCATTTGAATTTAAATCTGCCATAGCTATTGGCTAAGAGGTACCCTAGAACATTAGCTGGTACCATATGATGTCACAATGTCGTTGTGAGCCTGTGTGTGTATTTGTTAGCGGCTCCGCCCTCTCGGTCTGCTAGGCAACAGCATTTGTTGCATTTTTCAAACAGGAAGTGGGAGCGGAGTAAAACTCTGGTAGGGGGTGACTTGCTCTTTAACTAGTTTTAGTCATTTAAATGTTTTCTACGCAGAAAATCAGCTTGTTGTTTCTACCGGCAACAGAATGTAATGGAAACGAGAAACTGTTCTTTAGCGAGGCAGAAACCTTTACCAAGTGGGACAGATTATATTCTGATACCTCTGTCGGATAGTCTGACAAAGCTGTGTACTGATAAACTCTGATTCATGTAGAAATACTTTCTTTATTGATATCAGCAGCTGGAACGTCTCATTTCTCAGGAATAATATTAGTTCTGCAGCTTATCAAGAGAACGCCGTATCGGGTCAGGTATGAGAACAGGATCACACACGTACTCCACAAACCTGTACGTCTCCTGGGTTAATCCTAATCCATCGAGTGTTTAATGATATTTTATCAAACCACGCAGACAAACAACCTCTAATACATCAGAACGATGCTGTGTTTGATGAACTTTGTTTTACACTGGCCTTTGGTCGTTTTCCTGACGAGACTTTTTATTCCTTCTGTGATTTCAGGCGGAGGCGTGCAAATCTGTCGACTACGCCATGAAGAAATGTCCCAACGGGATGTACTCTGAGATCAAGTACGACGGGGAGCGCGTGCAGGTCCACAA